ACTGGAATGAAGACTCTTCATGTCTAAAATACAATTGTCTTCTCAGAGAACTGGGTTGATATAAATAGGCAGTATATAAATTGGATACCCAAAATTGGGGGAGATAAAGGTATGAAGTGGTTGGCTTACAAACTTTCGTAGGTGGAGGGAAAAATTCACAAGATTGTAGGGTTAAGGTATAGGTGTTACTTAATTGCAATTGTGAAGCTAAAGAATTATGTGCAGGTGCCAGGTTGGCAAGGGGTGGATTAAGTTAATTGTGCAAACCTGGCCGATAAACACTTGTGGGATTAATTGAAGGGCGGAGGGATAAATGGCTTGGTGAGCCTCGCCTTTTGGAGTTCTTGGGTCTCTTGCTTTGTGATGGTCGGACCAGGGTGCAGTTGCCTTAGCCAGTTCCCAGCTTCAGCTTCCTAGGCTGACTTCCTGCAAGACATTTCTGAGGAGAAGCCATATGGACTTACCCCGATGCAGCCCTGGGTGCTGGAGCAAACGTGTGGAGACCCTGCCAGCGCTGAGATGCTTACACGTTCACTGACTCGGCTTTCCTCCTGCAGTCGGCGTAATTTCATCTGCTTTGTGAGATGGAGGATGACTTTCTGAATATGGGTTAATGGATTAATGGTGGACTTGTGGGCTTGGGCAGGACTGGGTTGGGATGTTTTCTTGATGCGCACTTAACCTTTATATAAAACTCTCTTTCTGTGGATTTGTTTCTCCAAAGTACCCAGACTAATACAGTTCTTTTCTTATAAATGTTTCAGAGATAAATAATGTTTATTATTATGTTCTCAAGAGAAAGATGAAGCTTTCTACTACCTGAAGGTTTACATTTTCAAAAACCCACAGGGAAGTTCTCCCCTGTCCTGTAGGCTTGCTATGACTTGGAATTGACCCCATGCCAGTGAGTTTGGTTTGGGTGTATTGTGTTCAGCAGTATCTGGTATTTGAAGATGTTTTTGAATTTGTAAAGAATATAATCACATTGAACGGTAAAATAAATGTTATGTTGGTACAACAATTAAATCTTTTAACTTCCGCATGACTTCCTCCAGGGGCTTATAGTATAACTAAATAAGAGCTATTTTGTCTTTAACATTGGAGGTTATTAAAAATATTGGTCTGAATATTTTATCCAAACATCTACAAGGTAGACTGCATAAAAACCAGCAAACACATGTATATACCTTCCAACTGTCTAGCTTCTTTAAAAATAACAATAAAAACCAAAACACAACAAAGTATTATAGAAAATTTTGAGCATTGACTTTATAGAAGAATCCTGGTCAAAAGAGGGAAAGTGTAATAGAATTTCAAATTCTCATGGACTATGGATTTTCTGGATGAATCTCTAATATTATACTCTACCAGAAGTTTATTTAGATCAAACAATATTTTAATTAGTAAAGAATGTCTCTCTTGAGCATCGTGCTTGTTTAAAGAACTATGTATGTGGAGTCAAAGTGCCAACAATGATTTAAATAGGAAACTTCATGAGAGCTCAGCTCATGTTAATGAGAGGAATGCTTTGGGAAAGGAGCTCAAACTGTCACCAAATTTGAAAAATAGAATCAATCTCACGGAATTATACATACAAGATTTGTTGAATTGTTTGTATATTTTCAACCCTAAAAAATAAAATACATTAGAACTTAATAGACCGGTTAATCTGTTAAATTAATTTTCCCTGCAGAAATAGCAGGCTAAACTTTTTCGTACTCTGTATTTGATCTTTCGTTTCTCTTTCTTGATGCTCTTGTTTTCATGTGAGGAGAACGGGGTGAGAGAAGAGTGACTATCAGTTTCAATCAAACTCAGTACTATCAAGTCTATTCCGATTCATAGGGATCCTCCTATAGGACAGGGTAGACTGCCCCTGTGGGTTTCCAACACTAACTCTTTACTGGAGTAGGAAGCCACCTCCTCCTCCAGAGGAGTAGCTTGTGGTTTTGAACTGCTGACCCTGAAGTTAGCAGTCCAGTGCATAACCACTGCGCACCCAGGGCTCCTCTGCTATTAACTGAGGTGGAACAAAATTGATGCTCTGAACTAAAATTGTATCCTGAAAGTTTTTCTTTTTCCCCCCACAAGTGTAGACTTTGCTATCTGTATCTTCCTTGTGTCCTTGTGTTACTTAACGGGGTGGGTCATTATTACACATGTATTATTATTTAGTCTTGAACCCAGTAGAGATGCACTTTATGTTACAGATTTTGTCCTTTTATTTTTTCCCAGTGTTGTAGAAATGTGCCAAGTTTTCAAAGAGACTGCACAGCCCCCCAAAGTCATCAGGACTCAACAAAAAGTGAAGATGCTGGTTTTGCACGTGATCCTCAACTTTGCAGGTGGGTTATTTGTGTACAAAGTGCTTGTTGATTGCGCTGTGCCAATTCTCAGAGCTCTCTTGTCAGAAAGCTGGGGAGATTACTGATCATTTATTTCAGAATGAAGTACAATCTTCTCAGCCCTGTTTCTAAAGTCTTTAGGGACGTGGTAAACCCTTTCCAGACTTATTTCCACTTCCTGGTATATGTTTCTGTTTTTTTTAAAAATCATTTTATTGGGGGCTTGTACAGCTCTTATCACAATCTATGCATCCATCGTGTCAAGCACATTTGTACATTTGTTGCCATCATTGTTTTCAAAGCATTGTCTTACTACTTGAGCCCTTGGTATTAGTTCCTCTTTTTTTTTTTTTTGCTCTGTGGCACACCCTGAGTCCCTCCCTCATGAACCCTTGATAATTTATAAATTATGAGCAACCCCTTTCCTGATCCTTTGTGGAACTTTCCAGACTCTGGAACTTTGCTCTTGGAATGTGCTTCCCCCATCACCTTCATCTGTAATCCACTTGTATTCTGTGTGCTGAGCACAGACGTCTGATCCAGAAAGACAATCTCTATCTCTGTTGCTGGAAATGATCTTGAAGTCTCTCAAATACAATATTTGATACTCTTAATTCTTACATCTCTCTGTTGTACTAGAGTCAATGTGTCTGGTGGCAGCAGGCATGTCTTATCTCCTGCATGCACAGTGCCTGATACAAAGGACGTGTGCTGAGTGGACATGTGCAGTTTCCAGAATTTCCAGGATACTTTTTTTAATAGCCTTTGCACTTATCAGCTAATTTTAGGTTTTAGTATCCTTTGTTTCTGTAGTCTGTAACCCCATTGAGAGTAAGATCAGTCTCTTATCCTGTTTCCACAGAAATGAAAACTTACAAGGTTTCATCTCCCCAACTCTCTCTTTATGAGTCTATACTACTGATTAGAATGTTATGTTCATTGGCAATGTTGTCAGATAAAAAGCATTACATATCTAAATACACCAGTGGTTCTCAACCTGGGGGTCATGACCCCTTTGGGTGTCCAATGACCCTTTCACAGGGGTCGCCTGATTCATAACAGTAGCAAAATTACAGTCATGAAGTAGCAATGAAAATAGTTTTATGGTTGGGGGGGGTCACCACAACATGAGGAACTGTATTAAAGGGTTGCAGCATTAGGAAGGTTGAGAACCACTGAAATACACTAAATGGTATCAGCATATAAAAGCATGTTCTGATGAAATTCAGATATAAAGGTCTGTATCAAAGTATCATTGCTAGGGTTCATGTATGAGTTTATTTCAAACAAAACACATCTAAACACGGACCGATTGATGGCTGGAGATAGGTTTTCTCAGCGAGACACTTTTCTCAGTCTTGTTGCGGTGTCTTAGGTACAAGCAGAACAGTGACTTCCAAGAAGGTCTGTTGGGACAGTTAATTTCAAAGCAGAGGCTAACTCAGAAATTATGTTTTTTTAAAATTTCAATGAGGTAATCTTGATGTCTTTCCTCGTGTACCTTAAGGGCTTATTATATAGAAGATTTAAGAAAATTGAAAACCACCTGGGTGAGAAATAGGTACCAAGGAATTGGTTTCCCTCATTGCATTATACCTGTTCATTCTGCAAGGATAGAAAGGGGTAGGCCAGGAGAATTTCACTGGGCGACCTTCCACCTGACCTTGCTCCTTTAGATTATTTTTTGTTCCCCGAAGTTGAAGAACATGAAAAAGAACATGATTTGAGGGAGTCCCTTGAGGATAAGCACCTGCCATATTGTGCCGGTGTGAAGCGTGCAGACTTCTTCAGGAAGGTTAGAGAGGTGGGAACACTAACTTCAGACGTGTATATATAGAGACTATGTAAGGCACAGTAGCTTCACCTTTTGATATTTTTGTGTAATGAAATTTTTAATAAAATTTCTAGCAATACTCTAGTACAACTTTGTCCTGAATTTTAAGTGCTTGCCTGGCCTGTTCCCATGTCTGCAGATATAACGGTTTTGACTTTTTATAGCTAATGCAATGGCTTGTAGATGAATTAAACATTCATTAATACCTGGATTTATGTTTATTTTCAAGTCTGGACTGCAGCTGCTAAATTACTATAGTGTATTTTAAAAATTAATAGCAGAAAATTTATTTTTATTTTTCATTTCTAGAACACTCCTTTGTTAAACAAACATTCCTTTGTTAAATTGTCACACTCCTGTAGGTGGAATTGAGGGCAAATAAAAACCAATTACGTGATCTAGAAAAAGTATAAATGGTGGTTCCTAAAAGTCAGGGTGGAATGGAAAAATGTGGGCAAATGGCCCTCTTCTATCATGGTGGAGTGCCTTGTTACTGCTACCATTGAGAGCCAAGGTGTCATTCCATGTCACACAGTTACATTTACTGTCATAACTAGGAAAGGTGCTATTTCCCTCCTCTGACCTAATATTTCTAATAGGTTACAAATGATTACATGTTACAACAGGGCAGATAGTTGGAAACCTGCATAGAGCCAGAAACAACCTTATTAGTCTTTTCTTTTCACCTTCTAACTATGCAAATGAGCAATTGAGTCCCAGAGGTGAGGAGTGCAATGTGTCAGAGTGGAGAAGCCAGGCTTCTCTCCTGCTGAGGGACAGGAGGGGTCTATTGGAGGAGAGCGGGCTTCCTTGGGCTGTGAGGACCAGGGAGAGTAGAGAGAGCCCAGCGTGTGTAGTAGGAGAAAAGGCTTGAGACAGAACCTTGCCAGAAGCTTGCTTTTTTTTTTTTTTTCTGTGCTGGAGGGGTGGCAATTGTATTGACTGACAGAAAAATGTCAAATCCAGGGCCTGAAGAAGGCCAGACAGCCCGAACACCTAGCACTTCTTCCTGCAACCTCATTGGCTCGGCATAGCACCAAAAAAAATTGTTGTTGCTACGTGGCTTAGGTTCAGTTCCAACACCTTATGGACAAGAGAACAAAACAGCACTTGGTCCAGAACTGTCCTACCGGGTTTTTATTTGAGCCCATTTTTGCAACCACGGTATCAATCTATCGTCTGCACTGCCCTTCTACTTCACCGAGCTCGATATCCTTGCTAGGGACCAGTCTCTTGGATACAATGTCCAAAGTACATGAGGTAAAGCCCCTCTAGACTGGCTTTTTCAGGTATCTTCTGGCTGTAATTCCTCCAAGAGAGACCAGTTCTTCTTTTGAAAGTCCACGATACGTTCAATATTATTTTCTTGCACCGTGATTCCAGAGCTTCAATTCTTCTTTGGTCTTCTTTATTTAACGTCAAATTTCCACATGCATGTGAGTGATTACAAATACCAAGGGCTGGGTCAGATTCACTTTAGTCCTCAAAGTAACGGACATCCATTTCAACATTTTAAGGAGGTTGAGATCGTTAAAGTTTATTGTGCTAACCTGGCCGATAAACACATGTGGGATTAATTGAAGGCAGAGAGATAAATGGCTAGGTGAGCCTCACCTTGCGAGTTCTCTGGTCTCTTGCTTTGTGATGGTTGCACCAGGGTGCAGCTGCCTTAGCAGTTCCTGCTTCAGCCGACAAGGCTGCAAGACATCCTCAAGGAGAAGCCACATGGACCTACCCCGATGCAGCCCTGGGTGCTGGAGCAGCCATGTGGAGACCCCTGCCAGTGCTGAGATGTTTACACATTCACTGACTCGGCTTTCCTCCTGCAGTCGGCGTCATTGCGTCTGTTTTGTGAGATGAAGGAGGGCTTTGTGGATTGGTATTGGACATATGGGTTAATGGGTTAATGTTGGGCTTGGCTTGGTGGGCAGCACTGGGTTGGGATGTTTTCTCGATGATCACTTAACCTTTACATAAAACTCTCTCTTATACATGAGTTTCTGTGGATTTGTTCCTCTAAAGTACCCAGACTAACACAGAGGCCTTGTCCAGCAGATTTTTGAAAAGCGTTTTGCCACTGGATATTTTGACTGCTGCTTCTATGACTAATAATTGTGGATCCAAACAAGATAAAATCCTTCACAACTTCAGTCTTTTCTCCATTTATTCTGGTGTCACCTAAGCTCCAGTTGTGTGGATTTTAATTTTCTTTACAGTAAACTGTAACCCAGACTGAGGGCCACAGTTGATCTTCAGCTGTGCTTCGAGCTCTCACTTTCAGCGAGCAAGGTCAGGCCCACTGAATATCTCAGGTTCTTAATAAGCCTTCCTCCAGTCCTGGTGCTATGCTCTTGTTCACATAAGCCAGCTTTTCTGATGATTTGCTCAGGATACAGATTGACTAGTTATGATGAGAGGATGCGACCTTGACAAACCTCCTTTGTAAAGATTCTTGTACAAAATTCTGCATGCGTGAACAGTGACGTATGCTGGAATCCTTGTTCTTCTCCAGGGTATCCACCTACTGTGTTATGGCCCACAGAGGTGAAGACCTTTGAATAGTTAACAAAGCACAAGTAAACATCTTGCTGGTATTCTTTGCTTTCATTCAAGATCCATTTCACATCAGCAATGATACCCTTTGTTCCACATCTGAATCCCACCTGAATTTCTGGCAGCTCCTGTCAATGTACTGCTGCAATCATTGGTGGATGGTCTCCAGCAAAATTTTACTTGCATATGTTATTAATGAAATTGCTCTATATAGTTGCACGTTCTGTTGGATCCCCTTTCTCTTGAATGGGTACACATACCACTCTCTTTGTATCAGTTGTCTTCCTAATTTCTTGGCGTAGGCAAGCAAGTAGTTTCCAATGCTTCATCAACTTTATTAAACATCTCCACTGGTGGTCTAACAATTTCGGTAGCCTCATTAATAGCCAATGCCTTCAGTGCAGCGTGGACTTCTTCCTTCAGTAGCATTAGGTCTTGATTATGTGCTACTCGCTGAAATGGTTGAATGTTGATTAGTCTTTTGGTACAGTGACTCGGTATCTTCTTTCCCTTTTCTTTAGATTCTTCTTACATGGTTCAATATTTTTTCCATATAATTTTTCATATGGAAAACCAAGGCTTGAAAAATTTCCTTAATTCTCTCACTTCGACATATGCCGAGCTTGCTCTTCCCTTTGTGTTTTCTAACTCTAGGTCTTTGCACCTTTCATTACAATTCTTTACTCTGTCTTCTTGAGTTGCCCCTTGAAATCTTCTGCTCTTTTGCTCCATCGTTTTGTCTGTTTACATGATCTACTCTACTATGACGAGCAAGTTTCCGAGTCTCTTCTGACATCACCTGCATCTTTTCCTCCTTTCCCGTCTTTTTAATACTGCTTTGCTTTCTTTGTATGATATCTTGATGCCATCATGTCACCTCACAGCTCACCAAATCTTCTAATTAGTGTTAATACATCAACGTTGTTCTTGAGATGTTCTCAAAATTCAGATGGGAGAGACTCAAGGTCCTATTTTGGCTATTTTAGACTTGTTTTAGTTTTCTTTTGTTTCAAGCTGAACTTACATATGAGCAATTGATGGCATGTCGCATAGCCAATTCCTTGTTGTGACTGCTAATATTGAGCTTCATGGTCTCTTCCCATAGATATAATCAACTTCAGAGTATCCATATGGAGGAGCCCATTTTATAGTGACCTTTTGTTTTGTTAAAAAGAAAAGGTGTTTATAATGAAGAAGTCATTGGTCTTGCAAAATTCTATCATGTGATCTCCAGCTTCAATTTTATAACCAAGTATATATTTTCCAACTACTGTTCCTTCCTCTTGGTTTCTAACTTTGGCATTCCAAATACCAATAATAATCAATGCATCTTGATTGCATGCTTGATCATTTTCAGACTGCAGATGTTGGTGAAATTCTTTAGTTTCCTCATCGCTAGCTTTAGTGGTTGGTGCATAACTTTAAATAGTTATTTTGAATGGATTTCTTCATCTGCATATAGATATTGTTCTATCACAGACAGCATTATACTTCAAGATAGATCTTGCAATGTCCTTTTTGACAATGAATGTAATGCCATTCCTCTTAAAGCCGTCGTTCCTAGCATATCGAGCCATGTGATTTTTTTTCTGATTCGAAATGGCCAGTATCTGTCCATCTTAGCTCAGTATTTCACCACCGAAATGCTGTGGCTGTAATCTCCATCTGGTCAGCAGCCTCTTTTTACAGTTGAAGAAAAATGAGTCAAAAAATTATTCACAACTTGTCCAACTTCATACATCATGTTAGGCTTTTTCATCGTGCATTTTATGTTTTTCTTGGCTTTTAGGACACAATTCTTAAACATATTACTTATACCCTCCTCTAAAAATGAGGTCTTTTATGATAAATGCTGTAATACGTTATTTCTTTCATTTCACATTTTGATGTAAGATTGCTTAAGAGACAATTTTACTGTTTTTAAATAAGGAGACCTATTTTCCAAACCAGCTGATGACAAGATTAAGAAGAAATAAAGCCAAATGAGATACCAGGTGGCATGTTTATGAAAAGGATGGTTTTGAGTTCATGGTATTGATGCTACACTGTTCATATTCCAAAAACTGAGTTGAAAAATTACTTTTGAGAAACAGTGCAATATTTTAAGAGTCAACATTAACATTTTTCTTTAGTTGAAAACAAAAGAGCTTTGCTTATGAATACATTGTATCTTCTATAATGAATAACATGGAAATATTTATCAAGCATATATTAAAAACAAAGCCATGTGCTAGGAGCTAGAAATAAAATAAACCACCATGTTTTCTTACTTATAGAATTTATGATCCAGTAGGAGACATTGGGATAAAATTACTAGAATGAGTAAGAGTTTTGTACAGCCCGGGAGATGGAGAACCATTGGTGAGCCCTGAGGGAGAAAGGCAGTGTCCTGAGGTAGCATCTGAACAATAGATTCAGCAGAAGTGCAGTAAAGGTGTTGGATGACAGTGGGAAGGGGAAGGGACATGACAACTAACTGAGAAAATGAGATGGAGGCAACTTGTAACTGAGGAAGGGTTTTGGACAGAGCACAGATCTTTTGGTCAGAGTCCTAGAGTCCATGGAAAGAGAACTCTTAGTGGGTCATTCTTTTAGGGGGACACCCTAGTTCAGTAGAAGGTGAACTGGCAGATGAGATGAAGAGCAGGGCCTAGGAGCCTGAGAGCTTCCTGGGCATGACTTTGTATGGTACTAGGTCAAGGTGTGACCAGCGATGGAGTGGTTGAGTAGAATCCTGAGCTACCAGAGAGAGGTAAAACTGAGTAGCTTCAAGGATGGGTTGACAGTGCGTTGATAGAGCCCCGAGTCACCTCTTTCATTCAACTTGGGAAGCCAGATGAGTGGCAAGGTCCTCAACAAGGCCATCTGTGTGATGGCTCGCCTCATTCCGATTAGAGCACTTTTGAGAATGGAATCTTGTTTATAATTAGACGAGGGTGATAGGTACAAACCAGGATTGTTCTGGGAAAATTGGGTGAATAACTTTCCTAGTTGAAGTTGATAGCGGAAGAGGGACCAATTCGGGGAAAGAATTAATTTCTAACTTAAATTTAAGAGAAAAAATTAATTTCTAAATATGCTCACAGGCCCAGAAAAAACACAAGTGTTGTATAGATTACATTTGGAACCCAAAAGCACAGCTTTCCCCTCAGCAGCTTAAGAAACCTTTATAAATTTGTATCATTTTGAAGAAAATTATATGTAAGCAATATTTTGTGAGTAGATTGCTTGTTTACTAATTACTTGTCTCTATTGTTTCCTGTGGCAGAAAACCCTTCTCTGATTAAGGATATTTTGTGTTCTACTCTGAGTTGCAGACAAAGTGGGATAAGGCCTCTCATATTGTCTGTCGTGCAAGGATTCACTTTGCTACACAGCCAGTGCCAGGTTGGTCGTCTTTTTTTTCTTTCAGAGAATTCATTGTTCCTATTATTGGCCCAGGCAATTTGATGCAAACTATTTTGTTTTCAGGTTTTGTTCTTATAATCAAAGCAACTGTAAAACATATTTTATTTCTCAATAAGGTCTGCTCAATCTTTTTCACTTTTTGAGTTTTCTCAGTAGCATGCTCTTTATGAGTAGCATTGACATACAAGGGCCAACTGCTAAAATTTTAGGTATTTTGCAAATCGGTGAAATCCAACCATCATTTAAAATCACATCATATAAAGTTATGATCCAGAATATTACATTAAAAGTAAGCTAATAAATAGTCAATTTTTTACTTCCTAATAATTTCCTTACATTTTACTATAATCTGTAATCTTGAGAATAACCCTGGCATTGGACTGCTAACCACAAGATCCGAAGTGTGAACCTGCTAGTCCCTCTGGAGGAGCGAAAGATGAAGCTCTCTGCTCTTGTAAAGACTTAGAAACTCAAAGCAGCAGTTCTACCTTGTGCTCTGGAGCCACTGTGAACCACAATAGATTCAATAGCAATGAGTTTGGGTTTATATTTTTGAGAATATTTATCTCTTGTAGTTGTATGGTGAAAATAAAATACTAGGTGTATATATCAATAGATACAGATCTATGATCAATGATGTCAAGTTAGGAGCTTAAAATAAACCACTGAGAATATAGACGAACATTGAAAAGTGTTACAAATCAGTCCCCCCACCCCCACCTCCTGCTTAAGGGAGCCAGTTGCTAAATACCGGTATATACCAGTCCATCCCTGGTTCTCATAGTTGACTACCTTGGCAAGTAGCAAAAACTGATAGCTTCATGGGGACCAGCATATCAATTTTCTTTTTGCTAATTTGGACAATGTCCAATTAGGTCCCCATCAGCTGGCTTGAAGAATGTGTCTTTTACCTGAGGTGTGAATGTCTTGATCTTGGTTCAATACGATTGTATCCGTAGGGTAGGCCTGACTGACTCGGAAGCTTGGGAAATGAATGATGTTTTACCGCAGATAGAGTGAAGATTTGCTTTTCTTCTAGACCCAGTTATGAATGATATATATTGCTTTTGAGGCTGAGTAATTACACCTGCTCATCTCTGCCGAGAAGGTCAGATTCTCACAGCGAGTAGTCAGTAAAATGACTCAGAGGAGGTGCAGAGATGCTTATACTGGACTCCCACAGTATGATGAGGGCCTAAAACACTTCACTCTTATGGAAGGGTGAGATGAGATCCTAGCGGTCCAAACACACTCAACTAGTTGATTCAGAGTCATTATGACCGGAAGCTGTAAGTCGTCATGGGAACAGATAGCCTCATCCTAACTGTCTGTAGTTAGCAGTCCCACACTGCATAGACACCACACCAGTGCTCCTCGTGAAACTGAAGAACAGTTTCTAATTCTTACTCATGTCCTTGGGCTCTGGGTAGAGAACTGAACACGTATAAGAAGTTCTGCATGAGTCCATGGAGATACTTGCCTCTCTGCAGCCCTAGGACTTCCTCCTGGTTCCATCAGTTTGTTGAGCTCACCAAATTGTTACGCACAGGTTGCACAGATGTTTCTAAATGTGGACAAACATTTAGACAGAGAACAAACTCATAGGTAATCTTCAGTGTTGAGTGAAGCTTGTGGATGTATTTGATGATGGCAGACTTAGCCATACTAGGCAAAGACACTCTGATTTGTGCTTCTTGTCAAGGTGATGGTCTTATCCTGTCCTAAGGCAGAGTCTAGGGAATGTCAGCTTCTCAACTTTGGTAACAGGCATTTTTTTGTATTTGAAGGGCAGTAGTTTGTGATGAAAGAAGTTGGAGATTTTCTGCCAGTACAGAAGGAGATGTAGCTTCCTTGTCTATAATTTTCTATATCTAAAAAATATTTTGTTCAAGTTAGGAATAAAATTCAAGCATATTGATCCCATAGGGTCCCTGCGTGGTACAAATGCTTGGTTACTAACAAAAAGGCCGTTCAAAGTCACCCAGAGGCACCACAGCAGAAAGATCAGATGTTTTGCTTCTGAAAGCTCATAGGCATGAGAATTCTTTGGGGAATAGTTCTAATCTGCACATATGGAGTCAACATGAGTTGGAATCCACTCAATGGAATGGAAACTCCTTGTAGAAGATATTAAGCATGCATTTCATTAAATATAATTTATATATGATTATTCATTATGAACAAAAGATAATCTTCTATGATGAAATTTCTACTGTACGAGACTCCTGCAATAGGTTTTATTAAGCCGAGATGTTCTCAGAAATGAGTTGCTTCCTAAGAGGCCACTAATTTAAATGTATTACTCTGACCCCATGATATCTGAGTGTGTATGTGGTTGGAAGAGCAGATGTTCACGAAGAAAGGGAACATAGGGTCTGTGAAATATTGGGGTGGATAATTAGAGAAGAGTTAGTGCTAAAATTAGGAATAAGAATGCAATGTGAAAGCCTAAATGACTTCTATGACATTTATTGGAAATGTCCCCATGGACTTGAGCCTTCCAACCAGCTCTATCCATCTGCCTTGCAAAGTGCCTGTGTGGATTACTATTCCATTTCCCCCTTGGTCTTCCTGTAGCCATATCTTACTTTGCACGAGGTCTGTATACTTGTCTTTAGGGGAAGCAGGTAGGGAAGCTGGAGGGGGCCGTGTCTCCTAGGAGCTTCGGACATCACAAGACTGAATAAGGAATGAGAATTGAGGAATGAGAGGAAAGGAAAAGAAGGCCGTATCATTGAGTTTCCCAGAAAATAGAAAATGAAGAGTCAGACCTGTGCCTTACATGCCTTCTTGGGACCCTCCAGAGTGTAGACACCCTCCTCTGTTGCTGCTCTTGTGAATGTCCCTCGTGACTTCCACATCGGTGAACCCAGTGATCAAATGTCACTTCACGCTTCATTTGACCCGTTGCATACAGCACAGGTAGTTGCTTGCTTTTTAAATCACTTTTCCCTTGGCTGCTGAGCCTTTCCTCTGTGCGGGGATCATTTTACATCTTTGGTGGCCACCACCCTGTCTCCTTTCTAGTCCCTATCACTGTCATTTAGATCATTACACTTGTGTTCCTTTACTCTTTTATATTCTGACAATTTCCAACATTACTTCTCTAACCCTGACTTCCTCTGCACTTTAGATTTTGTAGCTTCTTGATATTTCCACGTAGATGTCAAATAGACTCTCAAATCCAGCATATCTAACACTTCTCTCGGACAATCTTAAATACATCCGTACACCTCTTATTGCTTCCAGAACTGCCCCTCTTTCTACCTGACATTTCTTAGAAACACTCCTAATTTTTTGCCAGGATGGTTTGTTTCTGGAGTTATGTGTTGCCTGTGTCCCTTCAATAGAAAATGAGCCTTATGGAAGCAGGGTTTTGGTCTCCTATGATCACAGCTTTGTGTCATATGTCTGGTCTCTGCTTGGTACATGCGGCCTCACTCGCTCACTGTCATTGAGTAGGCACTAAATCTTAGTGACCCTATAGTACAGGGTAAGAATTGTCCCTATGAGTTTCTGAGGTTGCAACTCCTTAAAGGAATAGAAAACCTGCTCTTTCTCCCATGGAGCAGCTGGTGGTTTCAAACTGCTGATGTTGTGGATCAATTTTGTGGCCAGTGATCAGTAATTATGTTTTGGATGAATGAATAAAAGAATAAATTATTGAAAATAAAGTGGCCTTGGTAGACAAGCCATCATAACAGTTCAATTGTGGACAAGAGTCTGATCCCATGTAAGTAATCCACTTGTGTCGGTTGCCCCAATTGTGTGTGTTCGTAGGCCCTCTGGTGGTGCTGAGGATGGGGTCAGCCTGGACACTCAGGAAACTCATAGCTTCACATCTGTATTTGAGAGATGTCTCTGCTCCTGTGCCTCCTTATCTTCAGCTGACCTACTGCAGCAGAGACTCTAAAGTTTAGGTTCCACTCTCTTGACATTGTAGTGTTCTTTGTCTTTAGCTTTTCTTTGAGCATCTGTTTGTTAGCCCTCTCTGGGAACCTGAATGATTCATGATTATCATTTTGAAAAGGAACCAATGTGTTTTTAGGAAAATATTTTAGATGTTTCAATTGGATAGAAATATTATCTAAGTGTCAACTTAGATTCGATACTTCTCCATAAACTGCACAGCCAGGGAACATGCTTCCAAAATCAGTAAGAACTTGGTGATATAAAAAGGGTGTAAATAAATTATGATATGAATAAATACTATATAGCATAAATTCTGTGTTCAGGGACTATGCATAGATTATGGTTGTATCTGTACTTCGAAATACATGTTGCCATCAATATTTGACCCTTAATTTTACATAGAATACATGTTTTCCAATTGATCGATTTATAGGTATTGCAAGGTTTTCTCTTTTTTAAAGTTATGGATGCTTTTCAAATAAAACTGGTCAAATGCTTATAAAATATTGTTGAGGCATCCATGGAGTGTGGAGGGGAGTTTTGTGATGTCCTCAAGTTTGGAGCATACAGCAGTGGTTTCCACAAGCTCTCTACAGGTTTCTGGCAGTCCCTTGACCTACAGGGGGAGGGAGGGGCAGGATCCAGAGCCTTGCGAATTTCCTACAGATGTTGAAGGAAGGATGAGTCCATGTTTTATTCACCTTGTATATGGGCAGTCACATAGGCTTGATTTTTGGTTACAGGCTTTGTAGCTATAACTTTTGAAAGCTCAGTTTTCAAACCAGTACTGAGCTCCTGAAGTAAAGCGCCGGGTCTCTCGGAATGTGGAATGTCCGCTCTGCCATGCGTGATATGGCTGTGTGTCATGTGTGTCAGCCAGTCGTGTCTAATGGCTTGTCTGGCTAGTTAGTAGCATAGCCGGGAGTAAGAGCTGTGTTCTCTGTCGCTACCACTCTGTTACATACAGAAGCAACTGGAAATGCTTGGACATTTCTCCGTCTCAAATGTTCTGTTTCTCCAAACCAAGGAAAGTAAACAAAAAGCTTTACAATACTTGTCATTTTTAGGGAGCACAACTTGATTTGGAAACAATACCTGAACACAGACCAATAAGTATGCTTTATATCAAACTTTAACCATTGCTTTGTTTTATAGGAAATCAATCAGATATGGTCATCACCCACTCAGCTAAACTGTGAAAGTCTTAGCAGGAAACTTTTTAGGTCTTTGGAAAGTTTCAAGAACAACTTGGAAGATACGACCGAGGAGGCCTGTGAATGCCAGCCAGCTCTAGGGACCGTCCAGCAGCACATGTACAAGTAAAGATGCTGATTTGGGTTTCATGGACTGCTACAGTATTTTTGCTTATAAAGATATCTAGTTCTAAAATCACAAAATGTATAAGGGAGATTAAAATAGCTAGGGAAAAATGGACATAAAAGATAATGTAATTTTCTTACGAACTTTCTGAGACCCACTCATAATGAATAGCAACTTTGGACAGAGACTAACTTTTTTTGGGATATAGATGTTAGATTAAAATACCATGATCTGAGATTATAATAGAGTATCAAGTACAGTCTGTAAGAACCGTAATTATCATCATATTTGATTCATTCTCCCAGTGTTCTGGAAGTGTAAACCGCTGGGGAAATGAGGCAGTGTCTGTTGTATAGCTGAGTCATTCCCAAGACCAGTGGTGTCCATCTGACTTCCGGTCCTAATTTCTCCTGCGCTCCAGCACACACTGTCCCTTTCAGCCTGGCGACAGCCACTTAGGATGCATCTGTATTCTCCTCACTCCCCTTGCTCGGCAGGAACTCTGAGAAGAAAATACTGTAATTGTGATATGAATGGATATTCACATACAGATGGTGTCAGGAGGCATGTTTTGCCTCATTATCTGAAGGATTTTATGGAAATGCACTCTTGTTATCCAGTTGATCTGGGCACTGAGACGATGTAATTCACTTCAGCATTGCTTCTGGTGCTTTAGGTTTTCTGAGTTAAATCCATCCCCTCCTTTTCTCCTGCCATTTCAGGTTGGCCAAGAGCCTTGAAGAAACTTGGTCATCAGGGAATCCCTTTATGACGTTTCTTCGCAATTTCACAATAACGGATGGTATGTGTGTGTTCTCTCCATGTTTTTTTAAAATTAATTTAATTTTAATTTTAATTTAAATTGAAATGTCATCTTCAACCCCAAAATATTGTTAAATGAAAAAATAAAAAAAGTTAATTATGCTAAATGTGAAAAGTACCAATTTAGACATCCACTGACGTGATGTTTTGGGGAGAAATTAGGAAAGTTCTAAAGCTCTGGTGCATCAAGACCAAGGAGAGTAATTCAGAGGACATTCTGTGGTCTGGGTTTTATCCCTGCTTTGCCTTCTATGACAAGTTATTGATATCCGTCTGTTTTTTCTTTTGTATAACCTACAACGTTCATAAAGCTCCTTGTAGCACCAATATACCAAGTATGGAGAATTCTGAATAATTCTTAAACTGATACTCTTGCCCCCAAAATCAAAATAACTAAAAGTATAATCATTCCCTATGAAAAATCTTTCTAAAGTAAATCTTCTTAAAATAACTGTGGCTTAGGAAGTACCCAAATTGGTAAACAGGAAATACATACAGCCTGGTGTTTGGTTTCGTGTTCAGTTGAAATTACCCCAGTTACCCCTGGAGGAATAGTATAAAACTTTACTGGGCATCTATTAGGGGCAGTTCTTAGGACATGTTGTCAGGAGAGACCGGTCCCTGGAGAAGGCATTCACGCTTTGCAAAGTTGGGGGCCGTGAAAGAGCCCCGGTGCGATAGACTGAAACAGCGCCTGCAGCAATCAGCTAACGCACAGGGACGATTGTGAGGGTGGCTCAGGACCGGGCAGTGTTTCCATTTACACATGGTCGCTGTGGGTCAGAACCAACTTGATCCCCTCTAACAACTAACAAGATGAGTTGCAAGGCTCAGTGAAAGGATCGATTCTTGCCAATGTTAAATGGAAAATTAGGTTGTCTTCCAAAACAAAAACCAAACTCCCCGCCCTCGAGGAGATGCCGACTAAGAGTGAGCCTCTGTGTGTTTCTGAGGCTGTAACTGGTCACAGGGGTAGGAAACCCTATCTTTCTCCTGAGGAGCACCTGCTGGTTTCGAACTGCTGATGTATTTACCTAGTAGTAATAATTTAAAGAGCTACTTAAATTTAAATAATTAAACAAATTTTAATTAAATTTGAGCAATTCCTTTTGTGTTTTAGGTGTAAAAGTTAAAGATTTAATGAAAAATATCACGAGGTTAACGGAAGAGCTCCAATCTTCTATCCATCTGTCAAATGAAACAATCAATTGTCTTTTAGAAGCAAACATTTCCCATTCAAAGGTACAGTGTTGCTTCTTCTCTATTATGATCGCTTACTAAGCCCCTGGCCAACCAGAGTATATGGCGTTGTTTCTCCTTCTCGCCCTCCAACGCTGGAGGGACGGGCCATGTGCAAATAATATCACTGCAAACAAAGGAAACGTGAGAACAAAAAGGCACCAAAGGTGTCATGATTTGATAGCAAAACTTTGTGGTTCTTAGTTTTATAATATTGCTTTTATTTGGGCTGCAAGCATAACAGTGCTGATGGAAATTATTCTAGTGATTTCCAGTCCTAATGTACCACATCCTAGGCTACCTTCATTTTGTTCAGTTGGCAATGTAAGATCTAAAACTCAAGTAGAATTTCTCTTACTAGAGGAATAACTGCATTATCTAATACTACTATGTTGGCCTCTTCCTGTAAAATCAAAGCACTGATTAAGGCAATTAGAACAAAAACTATAACGCCTTCAGAGAACTTGGTGCTGTTTTATCACGCTGGAGTATCGATAGTGATTTAATGTGTAGGCTGGGTAGATTTTTTTTCCTCTCAGAAGAATATAATTTTAAGGTGATTAAACTATTCTGAATAACAGTTACATTCTTGACTGAAAGTTGAAGGGTAAAGTCCCTCCGAAGAAAGACCTGAGTACCTGCTTCTTAGAAAGCAGCCATTGAGCACTCTAGGAAGCACTATTACACTCCGACACGCAAAAGTCTGTCATTGATTGTAGTTCACTTGATAGTTCTTGGACTCTACATCCTACCTACTAATCATCCTGCAACAAATCAAGCGCATGACTATAATCGTGCGGAGAGTCTTGGATACAGCTGTGTGTGCAGGCTGTGAATGGGTGAATTTTATCAGTGCATAGCAGATAATGTCCTTTGCAAGTCTTTTTGTCAGGCACCCTCTCAGCACTTCTGGTTGGGGGCCTTACTTTCCTGTACAAATTACCTGTAACCATTAAGATGGCTCTCAAGAGAGTATTTTTATTGATATGAGGGAGTACTCCCCCCGCCCCCCAAGAAAAACTGGAATTGCGCTGGGCAGAGCAGAGCTTTCGTAGAACCCATTTTTCCCAGCAGGCAAACATTGAGCAGCTTGCTCTGTGTTAGTGCAGCTAGTGGTGTCACCTGGGAGGGTTCTTTCTGGTCACAGTGAATATTTTAAGAAAAGTAGTTTCCCTTGAACCTCATTTTTTGTGATGGCCAATTTAAAAGAGCGGCATGCGGCTGTGGTGTGCTGTGAAACTTTGTTTCCTGCTTGGGAACAGTGCCTCAAACTGTTGTGATGTTGAACACAGCTTACAAGGATATCGCTATGGAAAAAAACTCAAGTGTATGAGTGTTTTTCTCATCTCAAAAAAGGTGAAATGTTGATTGATGACAAACCACTTTCTGGACATTCATCAACTTCCCAAATGGATGAAAATGTCAACTCATAGTGCATCTGGAATTTGTTCTACCTGGTCAGACTGTGAGGCTTTCTAATTAGAAGAGTGGTTCTCAACCTGTGGGTCGCGACCCCTTTGGGAGTTGAATGACCCTTTCACAGGGGTCGCCTAAGACCATCAGAAAAGACATATTTCCGATGGTCTCAGGAAGTGAGACACTGTTCCTCTATCCATCTCTAGGTGGGTCCGCCCACATGCATATATGCCCACACATGAGTACCTGGTGTGATGACATCATTGAGCCAACCCCATCTCATACGCCCCGTACAAATACAGGCATATGTGACAGGATTGGCGCCATAATGTACTTATGCAGACCAGTCACACACGTGCAGATAGCAGCTACTGTGTAGAAAACAGCTGCTGTGTTGAAAGCAGCAGTGTTGGACGTAAAACAACACTTCATAAATTATAATTACTGGGTAAATGTAAAATCATGTACCGTAAAATCATCAACTACTGCAAAAAAAAATCTGTACCATGGCAACTTAATCTGTAATTATGTTCAATTTCATTCAAATGAATGAAAATAACTTCCTGCATATCAGATATTTACATTACATTTATAACAGTAGGAAAATTACAGTTAAGAAGTTACAACGAAAATAATTTTATGATTGGGGGTCACCACAACATGAGGAACTGTATTAACGAGTCATTGCTTTAGGAAGGTTGAGAACCACTGATTTAGAGGTTCTGAAAAGATAACACCGTGTGACAAAAAAGGCCTGATTTGTGGCAGACGTGGACTGGTTTTGCCACCAGGACAATGCACCTGCTCACGCAGACATCTCAGTGCGCCAGTGTTTGGCAGAAAACAGCATGTCTTTCTTGCCCCACACGCCTTATTCGCCTGACCTCTCTCCATGTGACTTCCTTTTGTTTCTGTGAATGAAGAGGGACATGAAAGGACAGCAATTTGACAATGTAAAGAGGTGAAGAAAAACAAAAACAAAACGAAGGAGGTAACAAATGAGTTTGAAAAATGTTTCCAAGAATGGAATCACAGATTTGAATAATTTATTAAGTGTAATGGAGAGTCCTTTGAAGGTGATAAGGTTGCTTTAAAAAAAATTAAATCCATAACTTTGAAAAACAATTCCTTTTTTTTTTTTTCAGATACACCCTCATAATACCACGGTTCCAATTAGCCAGTAGTACTTGCTAATTAGAGTTAAATGCAAGTCTTGGCAGTGAAGTCAATTAAGAATTATTTTAAATTAAGACAAAAACAGAATAGATATTAGAAAGCCAAAATTATTACAGCATCACCAAGTTATTTATAGTAAGTCATGTTGTATCTATGTTCAAGGAAAACTGGTAAGACATGACTTTTAATTTGAGGCATACTGCAACTTAAGATCACAAGTTTGAAAGGAAAATCATTGTAAGGCGATATAATTTACAATAGACTTAGCAAAATACCTCATGTAAATTATCATGTATTCATAATGTCTGGCAAGTAAGATGTTCCAGTGTGCTGTATAGTCTGATAAACCGAGGAACCAAAATTACTAACATTAAACCCCATTTTCAAAGGAATAGAATGCAACAAAATCAATTATTCAAGGAAATCACACAATAGCTGATTCA